TATCGAAATTTGTTAGCAAAACACAAAGAAGTTTACATAGGAATAAATACATAGTTACTAAGATAATGTGGCGATGTGCACAACATTAACATAAAACTTAGTTGAATACTTAGTATCACATCCGGATTCAGTATGCGCTCCTTCACACACCGTGTAAGTCACGACCAAAAATAAGCTCACTAATGAAAGTGAACCTCGGAACCCGTTTCGTTTCCCTCTCATAGGGAAAAAAGCGAAAAGCTGCAAAAAATTTCCTACACATCCCACCAATTACCCATCCAAACCAAACCGGCTCGAAGAAGGTGCAGCAGGCACTCCTTTTTCCCTTCCTGAGCAATGAAGGAAAAAGAAGCCGTTTGTTGTAAATAAACAAGTTTGATGATTATATCCCGTAAAAAGTATAGCGTGTGCGTCCTTTCCGCGCTCCCTGCGATCGACACGCTATTCATGCGAAGAGTTACACCTGTTTCTGACTGAAAAGGTGTTTCTGGTTTTCATTCGGATTGGAAAAATCCGGTTTTCAGTCTCGGTACATGTGCATCTACAAGCAATCGTGTAACGAATCGGAAGAAATTGAGAAAAAAGTGCACTTGACTTGCCCGTATTGTCACCAAAGCCTTCAAATGGCGCACAATTTGCGCAATACCTACATGGGGAGAGGTATTCCACACGTGCGGCAATTTTCTACGGGCGCACTCGCGCGCAGTGTCGAATCGTGATGTAGGATTGTTGATGCAAAGTAAATGAAAGCTTCCGTCTCGGTATCGGGCTCCTCCGGTTGTTGGATCGGATCCGAGTGTGGCGTAATCTAATAAAAGTGGTGGGTACCTATTGAAAGGACGTCACAGCCAGCAGCACTGAAGGAGGAAGAAAGGAATCCGTACCGGGCTAAAAGCAATTTTATCATTTCCATCAGATATCAAATTATCACTACTGCTGGGGTGGTAGGTGGAAAGGTACTTGGCAAATGAAGTAGTGCAACTTTCTTTCAGTTGATTTCTGTTAAAGTATTCGTCGCTTGTCGATGGTGAAGATGAAGCAGGAGACGACAAAACTCCATCAAGAATATTGCTTTTGCGGTAGGAATAGTTCATTGGAGAAGCAAAGTTGCTAATGAGCCCTAGCCCTAATTTGAAAATTTTACTATTTTTTTTTTAAATATAAATAAGATAAGTGTGCCAGTTTTTGGTCCTAGTGGTCCTGTAGTTGGCCCTTTCTAAAATTTCAATTTAATTAGTTCATTACCAAATTTATTTCGATGCAAGGTATGAACATCGATTTTGCCATATATCTACGCAAATAAAACCATGAGAATTTATTTGACGTTTAGGCCACAACTGGCTGCTAATCAGAAGTTCTCAAACCTTAGTTTATTGTGACCCACTTTAAAAAATTCCATTAACATGTGATCCACCAATATTTATTAATTCGAAAAACGCTTAAAATGCCCTTCAAAACGATAAAAAAAGCCCAAGGCAAATGACCTGAAACTCACTATATAAAACCATAAAACCCCGGTAATTGGCTGAAATGGCCAATCAGATCGAAAATTTGTTCCTGAAAACACAAACAAAAATTTGTTTAGAATTTTCTCACTACGAAGTGGTAGCATACATGTAAAATTTTCGCATGTGATATATCTCGACATCCTGATCAGATAGAAAGTTACTGTCCTGGACAAAGTTGTTCAGGAGGTCAAAGCCTATTGATTGATGCACACTAGTTCAGAATTTTCTCACTACGTGGCGCTAGTATACACGTGAAATTTTCGCATATAAAATATCTCGAGATCCTGACCAGATAGAAAGTTACTGTCTTCGGCAAAGTTGTTCAGGAGGTCAAAGCCTTTTGGCTGGTGGACAGTAGTTCATCAATCAAATCACATCAATCATCAAAGTAGTTCGAGGTATTTACCTTTGACCGGTAGATGACAGGGATGTTTGTCTCTTAGCCTCTCCGTTTGCATAAGAAAGCATTGTAGTCGATCTATTTGATATGGAACTTTCGGTATGATCCTATCTGGCATTCAAAGATCTGATCTAGCTTGATCTGCTTTTATCAAAACCAAATCCAAGACTGGGAAGGTGATTCCTTGAAAAGTCCAAAATTAGTGGCTGATACAATTTGGATCTTTTGCGTCCTAAATGAAAAAGGGACAAATGGTATAACAAGTTTTGGAGATCAAATAATGACAATCATTGGAATAGGTACACAACCGCGCGTAATCAGTATTCACAATCGATAAAGAAAACTCGTTGTGAATATGTTCAAAGGAAGATTGATCAGCATCAAAACAACAGCAAAGAGTTATGAAAAATTTTGAAATCTTTATTAAAACCTAGTAATTGCAAACCGCGGTCCATAACTTGTAATGGCACATTAGAACAGTCAGAACCGGAGATGAACCAGCGTCTGGCTGAAAATCTCCTTAATAAAGACAACCAACCAACAGTCAGAACAAGTAATTGCAGCTAAGTTTAATGATTATTTTGTAGACAGTGTTTCATTGATTAATCAATCCATTGAATTGGTCGATGAACCTGACGAAATAAAACAGCCAGTTAATAGTAATTGTAGATTTGAAGTTTTTCATCCAATTACATTAGATGAACTTAGAGTTATTTGTTTTCCATTAGGAAAATCGGCTGGAGTAGATAATGTTAATGCTAGAGTTATTCAAGATTGCTTTCATGTCATTGGTTACACCTTGCTGGACCTTATTAATGAATCATTACAAACTGGACATGTGCCACAAATTTGGAAGGAATCCTTAGTGGTCCCTATTCAAAAAGTTGCTGGAACGATTAAAGCCGAAGAGTTTCGTCCCATCAACATGTTGCAGTATCACATTAGAGAAAATTTTAGAACTTGTTGTTAAAGGCCAGCTGTTGGAGTATTGAAATAGTAATAGTTTGTTGATACCAGAACAATCGGGAAATCGGGAAGGTCATTCTTGTGCAACCACGTTGAATTTGGTATTAGCGAAGTGAAACGCGCTTTTGAAAAAAAATCTAGGCCCTTATTGTTGACATCCATCAAGCGCTTTGGAATTACGAGTAATGCATATAAATGGTTTGAAAGCTATTTGTCTGACAGAACTCAACGGACTGTTTTTAATGATTCTGTTTCCAGTCCCGTGGGGAATAACCTTGGAGTGCCCCAGGGAAGTGTATTAGGGCCCCTGTTATTTATTATGTATATTAATGACTTGCGACGTGTTTTACGATTTTGCGACATTAATCTTTTTGCAGATGATACTGTGTTATTCATTGCAGCTAAGGATTTAGATGATGCCGTTTTACACTTGAATGAAGATTTGCGTTCTCTAAGTAGATGGTTGAAGTATAAGCAGTTAAAATTGAATACAAGTAAAACTAAATTTATGGTAATTTCGCGGAATCGAGTAAATGAGAACGTCTCTGTTGTAATTGATGACGAGACTATTGATCGCGTTCGGGAGATTAAATATCTTGGCGTGATTATTGATGACACACTTAAGTTCAACTCTCACATTGACAATGTTATCAAGAAAATTGCAAAGAAGTATGGAATTCTATGTCACCTGAAAAACGATTTAACTATTGCCAGTAAAGTACACCTATACAAATCAATCATCTCTCCTCATCTAGACTTTTGCCCTTCCATTTTATTTCTGGCCAATGCAACACAAATATCGAGATTACAGCGCTTGCAGGGTAAAATAATGCGTTTGATTTTGAGATGTAATAGATTCACTTCCTCAACTTTGATGCTAGATGCCTTACAATGGTTGTCGGTGAAGCAAAGAATTGTATATTTGACTAAGGTGTTCATTTTTAAAGTAGTTAACGGTTTGCTGCCTCGATACTTGTGTGATCGAATTGAAAGAGGAAGTGACTTTCATAGATATACTGCTAGAAACGCGGCTGAAATAAGAACACCACATTTCTTGACTTGTGCTTCACAAAATTCATTATATTATAAAGGAATAAATGTTTTAAAATTTGATACCTAGACATATCAAACGTTCAGCAACACTTACAGAATTTAAAAGACACTGCATTTCACATGTCTTTTGAACAGTTATACATTGATTTTTTTTATGAATTGACATATTATGTATCTTGACGGATTATTTTATATGGATAGCTGTCATAACGACTTTTTTAATAATTATTGTAGCACTGCAAAAACTATTTCTGTTCGCCTCGATGGTGATGATGGAGTTTATAATATTTGATTTAATAGTAGATTCACTAAAAGAAAGTAGTCTACATAGGTTTGAGTCTCGCGCGCGTATTACGGATATAGAGGACTGAATTTAAAATTTGATAAAAAAATGCAATTTTGAAGCTTATTTGGAAGATACCTTGAGTTAGTAGTAAGTTTTCAAACCTGGTTAAAATGTCATATTTAATTATCTTAAAGATAAATCGTCCAGCTCAAACCTTTGTAGAGGTAAGAAGTGGGACCATCATCATCATCATCATTATACTGATATGCCCTAAGTTTTCTAGAGCACAAATCTCGGATATTATTGTGAAATCGCTCATGCAATTTGAACTCCCTTCCCTTGCATTGCAGCAAACGTAGAGCTCTCTTGAAATTCCGAGTTGGTTATGCTTAGCAGATCTAAGATTTTAAGAAACCCATTCCAGGATTAGGAGCAATTCATTGCAGTGCCTACAAGTTTTTGGAAACACGTTATTTTTACCGAACACCGCCACATTATCAATTGATGAGTGAATGTACTTAGTAAAATATTTTTTGAGGTTCAGAGATGTTGAAACGCTTTGTGTTTTGGGCTGGAAACTCTCAAGTCAGTAAAGGAATAATTGTGGAATCTACAATCTATCATAGATTTCGAAAATTAAAACAGGAAAAAATTAAGGAGTTGAAAATTATGGTACCTGAAATGGTTCATGTTTTCTAGAAACTTTGCTGGGGATTCAAGACCTATTTGATCAAGGTTTCCAGTTTTCTCCCGCAAATTCTTAGCACCAAAAAAAAACTGTACTCACCTAAAGTCTAAGCTAAGATTTCTTTGGTGCGTCGACAGTCTGGTCTTCTGGGGCGCCCCGGTTTGTCCGGTGCCGGCACCGCCACAACCACCGCCGGTGCGCCCATGCACCGAAGGCATTGCACTGCTACTACTGCTGCTGTTGCTGTTGCAGCTGATGCTGCTGCTACTGTTACTGCTACTGCTACCATTTAACCCAAGACTACTGCTCAGGCTAAGTCTAGGTTTGTGGAAACGACTACTGGCACTGGCAACGCTCCATTGGCTGCTGCTACTGTTACTACTGTTGTTGTTGTTGTTACTATTGGTCGGAATGGTTGACGACGATGCTGGAATGGCGGGAACGGCAAAGACACCGCCGCCATTGATCGTTGTGGTTGCAGCGGCAGCCGCGGCTGCCGCCACAGCTGCTGCCCCCGAAGGAGGTTTGTTCACTACTATACTATCGCCTAAACTATCACTCGATGTGTCAGACTTAGTGGTTGCCGTTGGTTTTGTTACTGCTTCAGCAGAAGGTAGTTGCAGTGATTCTGCTAAACTGGGTTCAACTATCGGGATGGCCCGATCCACCTGGTCCTCACCAATGACCTGGTCCTTGTCGGTGGATGCCAACTCCAGTTCTACATTCTTCTCGCTCGAAGGACTCTGGACTGGCGTAGTGGCACAGGAAGGTGACGAGCCGCCACCATTCGTTTCAACCTGATGGTCCCCGAGCACCACCAGGTTGTTCATCTTATTGCAGCTGATTTCCCGAATGTGCCGTAGCTTCTCGTAGCTACTGGGCGGATCTTGGGCAATTTTCTTCCCGCCCGACAGCTTCTGTTTGCCATCGTGCTTGCCGGAAGATTTAAATGCGGAAAACACGGAATTCATTTTCACTACCTGCACCACATGCGGATCATAAATCAAACACTGAATCTCACTGTTTCACTCCGAGGACAAATTGACGACAATTTTCGCACACACTAATCTTCCACGTTGAAACGCGTCAAATTTTCTCACCGACTACTCGACGACAACACAAAAAGCACTTTCACTCCTCGGTAGGAAATGGACCAAGTCAAGTGAGAAGAAGAAGGATCATCAATCGAACACAGCGGATAATCCTCTTCGTTGCACAGCTTCCGGCGAGAGCACGTCAAACCTCCGTACGACAGTGGCTCAGCTTGAAACCGATCAGCATCACTTCTTGTTCGCTCCCCAACGACCGTGCTATTGTCCTATCGGCTAGAATCCTATTGTTGTGGCTGGCCATTTTATCACCGACACTACTGTGGTCACAAGTCGTCAAAACACTATCTTCGACTTAGGCTCGCGACGACATCGACGACAACGGTCCAGAATGGCAGAACGAGTGGAGGACTCGTTCTCATGTTGATTTGGTTTTGCTATTCAGCTGCCAGTCCTGCAAACCTGCACCTGCAAGTAAAGAAAAAAAAACGAGGAAAGGTAAGAAAAGCGAACATTAGCACTCTTGTGAAGGTTTGAGCGGCGATTGGCAACGAGATAAGGGCGAATGAACGAATGAGCGAACGTGTATGGTTGGAACCTGTGTACATGTGCTACACGTGAAGAGCGCGACATCCGCGCGCGCGGGCCTCGTGCTGAATATGGACTGATTTTTGCATTCTTTTTTTTTGCCCTCAGTCGCTGAAAGATTACTTTTTTCGCTAGTAGGTATTATGTTTTATTTGTTTGGATTTGCAACAAAGTTTCTTTGTGCCCCGACCACCGAATGGTTCTCGTGGGATTTCTGTGTTCGCGGATGCATAAGGAACAATGGTACACGGCGGACAACGACGACGGGTGTTCAGAAATCGGAACGGGTTGAATTTCCTTTCTTGGACATGGGTGATTTTATCGGTGGTTGCGAGGAGGTTGTACTTTGAGGCAATTGATGCAAAATGGTGATGTTTATTTGGAATGAATCATTGGCGTTTGTGGCTGCGGCTGTAGGAAAATTACAGAGGAACACATCCATAAAATTCGATTTAAGTGAAACACTCAAGTACCTGCATGGCATTTTTGTTGACTGCCATCCGATTAAACCGAATGAATCAGTTGCATGGGATTTTCTTATATAATATTGAGAGGGCTACACCCAACCGGGGAATGAAATATTTCACTACAGGGTTCCATCAGAGATGTGCAAAAACTGTTACAAATCACCACTTATACAATAAGGGAGCATCCATTTAGTACGGGGTAGAGGGCTCACCAATGTGTGATAAGCGATGCATTAGGTATAGGAAAAATGTGAAGAAATGGGGGAGGGGGTTGATTTTCCCTAAATTTTTCGTGACGTGGTTAATCAGGGTGACCACAGAATTAAAAAAATATATTCCCGAGTGCCCAACATATTTCAAGACCAACAATTGAAAAGGCCTCAACTCCATTTTGTAAACAAACCTTGTAAGGCCATTTTCTCGCGAATCAAAACATACATTCGCAAACCTAATACACAATCGGGTGGAGGAGAATTTCCCCATTCATTGTTCATTTTGTTAGTTTGCGTCAGTGTACTTCAGTTCGCAACAAAATGGTCTTACAAGGTTTGTTTACAAAATGGAGTTGAGGCCTTTTCAATTGTTGATCTTGAATTTTCTCCGGTTTAATATTAACAATGACAGCAGAAAATGGTAACAACGGAACGCTGGCTGGCATGATTGACTTCAGCAATTGACTGGAGAAAAAACCTTCCCCTCTATGGAAAAGCAAAATACATTTTCAGGATTTTAGTTTATTATGTTTTTTTAGGTTGCAAAAAATAACCAAATTATGCTTCATAATTTATATAATTTTTTAAAGTTCAAAAATTGAAAGCAGTTTTAAATTTATCTAAATTAATGTTAATAAATTGATTGATTGAGTTGAAACATGACAAAATTATCAAGATTTTGAGACTGTTTTTAACATTCTTGAACTTTGCAAGATTTTTTACTTCAAATATTACTTAATTTAAAAAGAAAAAAAGGGATTCTGACAATATGAATCATTGGCAAGAGAATTATGGTAAGAATTTAAAATGAGTTTTGAGGATAATTGCAGAGAAAATTCTAATGCAACTTAGGGAAGTACACTGGAGTCGCTTTTTACGCGGGTGATACGTCCCGCGTAAAAAAAAACCGCGTAAATTCCGGAATCCGCGTAAAAAAAAACCGCGTAAATTCCGAAATCCGCGTAAAAAAAGACCGTGTAAAAAAAACCGCGTAAAAAGCGATTCTAGTGTATAATGATAAACCGCGTAAATTCTGATATCCGCGTAAAAAAAAACCAAAATCCGCGTAAAAAAAACCGCGTAAATTCCGGAATCCGCGTAAAAAAACCGCGTAAATTCCGAAATCCGCGTAAAAAAACCGTGTAAAAAAACCGCGTAAAAAGCGACTCCAGTGTATTCCAATGGAATTTGACAAGAAGTTTGAGAAGTATTGTAAACTTGTAAGGAGAAGTACAGTGTATCTCAAAATTGAGCGTCCTTAAATTTTAGAGAAAAAAACAGCTTTAAAAGCACAATTTAAAGAGATACGTTTCTAAATTTCTGGCTGCTGAATCATCATAAATTTATCAATTATTGGAACAATGTTGGGCTTATTTTGTTGCGTTTATTGAACGTAAGAGCTATTTGAGAAAAAACGCTTTTTCCTTGAAAAACCTTAATATCTTCAAATATAATGAACTAAACTTTTTGAAATTTTGCTCATTTTTAGTCATAATGAAGATCATTCATATTATAGTAATTTTACTATAATTTGCCCACTACGTAAAAAGTTGAAAATCGTGCGTTTTACTAAAATAAATCTAACTTCATACAGGTTATTCCAATAAAGTCCAAAACTAAAACGATAAATCAATGAACATCTGTTTAACCACCAGCTGGAATGTTTCAAAGAATGTTCCACTAGGGTGTACGCTCAATTTTTTGATACACTGTAAGTATGTGAGCTAGTAGGCTGGCCCACAAGTTCTACTTTTTTTACGGGCCAACCCCTAGATTTGTGCCTTTAGGTGAGAAAACCATTATCCGAAAGTTTCAGCTCATTTGGTTTTAAGATGAGCTGGCACCTTTAGTTTGAATTTTGTATGGGGAATTTGGATAAAATACATGAAAAAAATGACACCCCTACACTCTGTCCAGGGTGGCAAGTGAATTTCCATTTTGAAATTCCTGGTTTTTTCCTGGTTTTCCTGGTCAATGATTTAAAAAAAAAATTAAAACCATGTATTTAAAAACAATTTTTAATAAAAAAAAAAGTGTATCCTTATACCATCATTCTTCGCGCAATGCGAAATTTCACGAACCAAAATAGGTATTAAGGTTCTAGTGAATGCCCGTGAAATCTTTATCTGATGTTTCCTGTAAAGAAGCTAGTAGGGAGCCGCGTTTCTTCGTCGTATCATAGCGCCTATTTCCGTTCTATGTACTAAAACTATAATAGCAAAGCGTTTTCACTCATGTTTTTGCAAAAACATCTTTGCTTACAAGATTAATTACGATTGACACTGAAACATTGGCGATAACCCGATAAAATGAGCGATTTCAGGGGTGTATGACGAAGAAAAACTGAGATACGACGGACTAGCGCGGAGCCCTATCTAATGTCTGAAATTTAGAGATCTATAAGCCCCTAAATCTTGAGATTTCTGTTTTTGAAATCGCGATTTTTTTAACTTTATTATTGAGATTTTTAGCCAACGGGCTAGTTTATCCCAAAGTGAAATTGCGAAGTGTGATATGAATGAGGACTCTTTAAACAAACCTTTGCTTCTAACAATTTTACGGATTTCCAGTTTGTTTAAATTTTCCGCAAATTGTCAACGATTAAGGATCTTATTTAGCGGAATTTTGATTACAACATGATTTTAAATCATATGATTAAAAGATTTCATAAACAACGCTGTTTTAATAACTCTTATTATCAAAAAGACTGACTGCTGAAGTTCATAGAAACTCACTAAAGTTCGTAGAACTTCCCTGAAGCTTTAAGGTCTTTTTTTTTTATCCAGTTCGTTTATTTGGAAGGCTCAATCGCGTTAGCTTTACGGAGCCGATAATTCATTGTTCACTGTGTGTAACAAAATTCACTTAATTCTATGTCTAGTAGGAGTTGGGCCGATTACTCGCGGCTTACTCGAGGTTAGAAGGGTACATTTTCGAAGGATAGGATCAGGGGAGGAGCTTGGGGTAGGGTTTCGTTGTCTCATCAGAGCGTTGTCGCCAGTATGAACGGTAGTGCTGTTCTAGCTTCGTCCGGAGTTCGACCGGCTATGGTGGGTGACCAGTGGGCGACGATGAGACTCATCGAGACGGGGGGACAAGACAAACAAAAACTAATAAAGAGAGACAAAAGACAAAAGGAATTAAACTCTTATACTAGACATTTGAAGAAAAACATAAACGGACTGCATATAGCAGAGATCACGGGTTGCCAACACGTCTCTGATAGGAACATAGGGTTGTCTTCCTTGGGCCTCGAGGGTATTCAAAAGTCGCTCTCTGGCGGCGTCATTATCCGTACATTGCCAAACTGCGTGTTCGATGTCATCGTAACCGTTTCCACACCGACAGATGTTGCTGTCCACGAGGTTTATTCTATTGAGATGAGCATCTAGCGAGTAGTGGTTGGACATAAGTCTACTCATCACGCGAATGAAGTCACGACTTAAGCCCAAGCCTTTAAACCACGCTCTCGAAGAAACATTAGGAACAATTGAATGTAACCACCGTCCAAGATTTCCAGTGTCCCAATCGGTTTGCCAACTCTCGTAAGGGTACTCTGACGCACTAAATGGTAAAATTCATCGTGTGAAATTTGCCTGTCATAAAATTCGCCTTCCTGCGCGCCCACCTTTGCGAGAGAGTCCGCCTTCTCATTGCCTGGGATTGAGCAATGTGAGGGGACCCATACAAAGGTAATCATATATGATCTTTCGACCAGTACACTCATCTGCTCCCTTACCTTTGAAAGGAAATAAGATGAGTGCCTACTTGGTTTCATCGACCGAATAGCCTCAATCGAACTGAGACTATCCGAGAAGATAAAGTAATGGTCTGCGGGCATGTTGGAAATCATCCCCAATGCGAAGTTGATTGCTGCCAGCTCAGCAACATAAACAGAACAAGGTTCCTGAAGTTTGCGGAAGGCGCTAGAGTTTTCATTGAAGACACCGAAGCCAGTGGATCCATTGAGACGTGACCCGTCTGTAAAATATCTTTTTACGCAATTGACGTGTTGGTACTTTTCAGTAAAAATACGCGGGATAATAATAGTTCGAAGTTGATCTAGAATCCCATGAATCATTTGTTTCATGTACAGATCATATTCAATTGAGGAACTGCGATTGGTGAAGTGAGCACGGTCTAGAGTATAACAAGGAAGACACATATCCGACGATATGTAGTGGTGGTAGATTCTCATAAA